ATCAAGGGCCTCTACAAGATTTTAGCTCAGTATTTCCCACAATTTAATGAGTGTTACGAGATATGTAAACCATTTGCACTATTATTTATTAGCTTCCTTTAAACTGATGCACTTTTTGTTCTTAAATTTGCTTGAAAAGAAAACCATTGTAAATGAAAAATGTGTTTCATGAGGCATCAACAGTAGCTATAAAATCACTATAAAAACAATGTAAAGGGGCACCTGGGTGGCTCACTGGGTTAAGCATCTGACTTTGGCTCAGGTAATGATCTCACGGTTCATGAGTTCATGTCCCACGTCAGGCTCTGTGCTGACAGCTCAGAGCCCGACGCGGGGCTCGAACTCACGGACCGCGAGATCGTGACCTGGCTGAAGTCGGACGCTTAACCGACTGCGCCACCCAGGCGCCCCTTGGCTTGGTCATTCTTGTTTAAAAAAATAAATCAAGATAAGCACATGTTAGGTATTAATCACACACATTTACATTAAATTGTAATTTTGAAAGTTCCTCATTGAAATAACCAAGTAAACTGAAAGAAAGCTGAAAAGCTAATAACATTCTCATTGAATGTTTCAATCTTATTTAATGTCACTTTCCAGTACTGCCTTATGGAATCTCATAAACGCTATGCATCTCATCCTTTGGAAACTATTAATTTATCAGATCGTCCAGGCTCATTATTTCCTTAAGGAACTGCACCATTTACCTATGCCACTTATCTGGGAACTTAATCATAACATCTCTTACATGATATTTAATTAGTTTGTATTATTTCACATGCGCAGATACAAGAGGAATTCTTAGGACAACAAAGTCTGAGTCATACACAAGTCATGGTTTAGCCAAACCAGAAATAAAAGTTAACACTTGACCAACATGGGGGTTGGGAGGGCTGACCTTCTGGGCAGTAGAAAACCCACGTATAACTTTGACTCCCCAAAAACTTAATTACTAATAGCCTACCGCTGACCTTACAAATAACATAAGTAGTCAATTAACACATGTATGTAATATGTATCATATACTGTATTCTTATAATAAAGTAACCTAAAGAAGAGAAGATGTTATTAAGAAAGTCATAAGGAAGGGCTCCTGGATGGCTCAGTCCGTTAAGCGTCTAACTTTGGCTCAGGTCATGATTTCGCAGTTCGTGAGTTTGAACCCCGCATTGGGCTGTGCTGACAGCTCAGAGCCTGGAGTCTGCTTTGGAGTCTGTGTCTCCCTCTTGCTCTCTGCCCCTCCCCTGTTCTAGTTCTGTCTCTCTCTCTCTCTCTCTCAAAAATAAATAAATTTTAAAAAATCATTAGGAAAAGAAAATACATTTATAGTCCTACACTGTACCAAAAAAAAAAAAAAAATCCGTGTATAAGTAGACCCACATATTTCAAACCTGTGTTGATCTGGGGTCAACTCTAATGTCACATTTAATGACTCAGCCAACACTGTGCATAAGAAAATGATAAGGAAAACATGAATTGGGCATAGCAAATTATTTTTAAGCATATCAGTAAAGAATTATATATGGAATATATATGGGAATGTATCTTTTCTCCTTTCCTGTTAGTGACATTTTCTATGCATAACTATATACAGTTATATATGCATATATAGTTAGGAGCACAATATTCTTTATAAGACGATATTTAGCAAAGTTGTTTGTTGTTTTGCTGTTTAAGCTTTCTGTTTTAAAAGCTAACTGAGTATAGTTTTCGATTAATGTGGATTTAAGTTTGAAAATTTAGAAGTTCTCTTGCATTTCATAATACTTCCATCTCATAGAATAAAACTCAACAAACAGATTTTAAGTTGCCAACCACTTTGACTAAGATTTTGGTCTTTACTAAATAGTTAAATTTGAGAGTAGCTTAATAGCATGCACTACACTCATTTACTATCTGACTTTACTCACTTCACTATAGATCAGTCTAGATTTTTCTAAAAAACATGTATTATGAAACTTACAAGTAAAACTCAGGAACAATTGTAAATGTCTTCACATTTCATGAATTCCCACTTTATCCGTGTTCTATAACATTCATCTTTAATAAACTTTTATGCCCACAGAACTGAATCCAAATTTGAAGTGCTGTATGAAAACACTTCATTACTTTCAAAATAATCTCTCTTTGATTTCATACAAAAAAGGTATCTATTTTAGTTTTGATTAAATATTTAAGATCTGCAGAATTTGTTCCTCAAAAAAACAGCATATGCATTCATATATAAAAGTCTGAAAAAAAAAAAAGAAAGTCTGGACCTCTTCGTACACTCAATATAAGGGTTTTGCACTGACATACGTTATTATTTTGATTCAGCTAAGCCTTAAGACATAGTTCATTTTTTTATAAATGACACGTCCTTCTAAAATTATTATGCATTTCTGAAGGCTAATAAAAAAACTAAATACAGAACAATCAGGTTTTGTCTGATACAAGTTTAAATTTTTTTCATTCTTAATGAAGTCTATCAGCAAGAAAGGTTATGACCTGATATTCATAGCAATAGGAACAAAGGGTTTTAATTGTCTTTGCATCCTAATCCTCTAGCAGCTGATAAATATTTTAACTGCATCTTCCAAATACAGCATTATGCCATGTTCAAAAGTATTTTAACTAGTTATCAAAAGCAAAAATTAATTACATAAATTTTCCATTCAGGGTGGGTTAGTGGACAGAAAAACTGTCTACTTTAGTAGAAGAGGATAGACATTAGAATGAACACACCTAATTTATAAGCGTTGTCCCTACCTTGAGAAAGGAGTTTCACTTTTCTCAGCTAATATTTGTAGATCTGCAGAATGGTAATTGTCTGTCCCTTGCAGACATCAGCAAATAATATGTGGAACTAATCATAAGAGTATGCTTAATGGTAGCTATAGTTATCCAACTAGCAATTTTATTTTATTTTATTTTTCTGTATATGAAGTTTATTGTCAAATTGGTTTCCATACAACACCCAGTGCTCATCCCAAAAGGTGCCCTCCTCAATACCCATCACCCACCCACCCCTCCCTCCCGCCCCCCATCAGCCCTCAGTTTGTTCTCAGTTTTTAACAGTCTCTTATGCTTTGGCTCTCTCCCACTCTAACCTCTTTCTTTTTTTTTTTCCTTCCCCTCCCCCATGGGCTTCTGTTAAGTTTCTCTGGATCCACATAAGAGTGAAACCATATGGTATCTGTCTTTCTCTGTATGGCTTATTTCACTTAGCATCACACTCTCTAGTTCCATCCACGTTGCTACAAAGGGCCATATTTCATTCTTTCTCATTGCCACGTAGCACTCCATTGTGTATAAAAACCACAATTTCTTGATCCATTCATCAGTTGATGGACATGTAGGCTCTTTCCATAATTTGGCTATTGTTGAGAGTGCTGTCCAACTGGCAATTTTAAATAACACATTCTTTTCCCTGAAAAATCGAATTCAGGTAAGTAGAGTTTGTCTTATTTATTACTATTGTTATTTCCTATTCTCACTCACTCATTCCACATTTTTACTAGAGACCTGGTGATAGGTACTGAAATTGTGGCTCTGAATAAAACATGCCATCTTTGTCCTCCTGGAGTCATATTCAACTGACAGCAAGCACATTTTAAAAATGTCACTGTGGTAATAAAAGGACTGTTGAGCAAACGAAGCCGAGTGGCGGAGTTTGAAGAGAAATAAGGAGTCTGCTTTAGGTGAGGTGGTTGGAGAAGGCTTCTCTAAGTGGTGACATCTGAGCAGAGTCACGACAGATAGAAGGAAGCCAGAGCGTAGCCTGAGAGAACACCAAGGCACAGGGAAGAGTCAGCAGAGAAACCCAAGGTAGGAAGAGCTCCATGATGTTATCTACCAATCAGGGTGAAACAGGGGGTCATGTCCTGTAAAGACTTACCATCCATAGTGAAAGGCATAGGAAGCCATTAGAGTAGTGAAGCTTAAATTTAAATAGATTTTTCTAGGTGGCTATTGCAGGTACTAGGGAGAGAGATCAGTGCTAGATGAACAGTAGCCAATTAACTAATGAATATATTTGGAATATGTTTTGAAGCCAAAGCCCATAGGGGTGAGAAAAAGAGGAGAATCACGGAAGGCTACTACTTTTTGGCATGTGCAGCTGGGGGACAATGTTACCATGCACTGAACCAAGAAAGTGGGGGAAGAGGAAGATATAAGGATACCAGTCAAGAGTTCTATTTTAAGCATGTTAAATTCGAGATGCTGATAGGCGGTCAAGTGAACACACAAAGGGGTCAAATGGATATTTTAAACTATCGCTATTGGGCTTCTGGTTATTTTAAAATCATTTTCTCTGTTTTTCTCTATTTTTCACATGACAGATTTTGTTCATGGTACATACACTCAAAGTTGTTGAAGTGATCTTTGATTGTAATTTTTTCAAGTAATTTTATTGTAGAAAGCTCATCTGAACTATGTTTATGTTAAAGGAATTCCCTGAGTTTGAGAGGTATCTGTCCAAACCTTCCTGAGTCTCTCTCAGGTCAGGAAATGCATCATCTCTTAGTGGGAATATGACACATGGCCATGTCACTCATTAAGCCCTGCCCAAAGGATTTGTAGTTGTCTGCATTTTCTTGGCTTATTGAGGATATGGAGTTGTACCAGATGCTCTAAAACAGGATTCAGCAAACTGTGGCCCACAGACGGGGTCTAGCACCCCACCTGTTTTTGTAAGTAAAGTTTCATTGGAACACAGCCATACCTACTCTTTAGGTGTTATGCATGACTGCATTCACACTACAACGGCAAGTTGAATAGTTGCTACAGAGACTTATGACCCACAAAGCCTAAAATATTTACTATTTGGCCTCTTAAGAAAAAAAAAATGGCTGACTTTCGCTCTAAAGTCTTTCTAACCAGGAACACCTTGTGATTTTATGATTCAAAGAAAAGTGCATCAGAAATGAAGTAGGATCTATAACCATTTACGACCTGTAAAAATTGGGACAGTCAACATTTCCTTGTAGTGATTTTCTTTTCTTTTCTTTTCTCTAAAGCTGAGAATCAGAGTTCAATCAAAACAACAGAAACACCAGGTAAGTTCATTTTCTCCTCTCTGAGAACATTCATGAGAAAGATCCCCAAAATGAGATAAAAGGAGATCAGTCAGTGTGAGGGCAGAGGAAATAGTACAAGAGAAAACATGACATGACAACTAACATGTTTAAGAGAACTTGTATTAAAAAAATAAATAATAAATAAAATGCAGATCAGAGTATAGGATGTGCCTGAGTGCCCTGTGGCCAGAGTGAGTGGTATCAGTCCTGGTAAATGCATGAAGCCTGTGGAAGAGTCCTCTGCCCAGAATCCGCTCTTCCCCATCTGTTTCTGTGGTTGGCATGCCCTCTCCCAGAAAGATAGTATGTCTCTGTCTTCTCTGTGCTTCCCAACACAGCCTGATCCTGGCAGTCAGAGACTTGATGTTACAAACCACAGTGAAGCCTAAAATATTATCACTCCAAGAAGTGCTCCTGTTTTGTTATCCTAAGTTTTAAAATGAGTAAATCTAGGACGATGGCGCAACAGAAACCGAAAAAGATTGTTGGGAAGAGGCAGATGGTACCATTGAACCCTTCTGTTGTGTTGAAATCGTAATTATTTGGGAGACTTTATCTTCCTACATCCCACCTCGTACTTTTATAAATGATAAAGCTCTTAGGTTCTCAATCGTGCTCACCTATGGTACGTATAAAAATGAGGAATATGTGAAATACACTTAGAAGATCATGTCACTTTTTTACGAAGCCAGAAAACTAAAGCTGTGAAAATTATGAGCGACTCCATTTTCAGAGCAAATGTACTAAATAATCATCATAGTCTACCTCCTGCATCATGTGTTCAAGGAACTCAAACCTGAAAGGATTATGCTGTTAACATTTGATTATTTATCTTCTACACAATATATCTCATGAATTCAGAAGTTATTTTTATATTAATTCTCTTTATTTTCCTGTGTCACTGTATTTTTTTAAATACTTACTTCCATTTGCATAGTCTAAAATGCACTAGAAAATGCACCGGGAAAAACAAAGCAAAACAAAACATAAAAACAGTGCATCCATTGGCTGATGGTTTGCACTGTTCTGGAGAAGTCCTTCCCTTCTGCTTCATGGACTAGTTAACCAGGAGAAGTTACAGATGGAAGACAATTGAGAAGCTGCCAAAATCATCAGTTCCCTTTAAGGAGGCACTGAAGAATCCTCTGAGAGATTAATTTACAAAATGCTAGCTTTAACTATAGTTGATTTTTAACTGTAATAGAAAGCCCATTTACACCATTTATAGTTTGAGCTATAGAAACTAGTTCTAAAACAGATAATAAACACATCATTGATTTGATCAGTGTACTAAAAAGAAATGAGACTGACTTTATAAACTATAAGAAAAGTCAGTCTTTAACTTCAAAGATATATGTTACAGGTAAAGACTAAGTCCAGACTCACTGAAAAAAAAAGTCTAATGACAAGGTATTAATTATATATCTGTTGGCAACTATAATCATTTGTTTGTTCAATCATTTGTTATCAAAAGTGTTCAAATATCAAATTGTGAAACAGTTTGATCAAAAATATGGTCAAGAATAGGCATCTTACTTGAAATACTTAGTATTTCTTTTTTAGGTAAAAGTTGAGGTAGAATTCTAGCCCACAGAATTATTAGTACTGCCTCCTTTTTATAAATATGAGCTAATATGCATCATATATGGTTCTCACATTTGGCATTTCCTTTCATATTATGCATCCATCTTTCATTTTCTTAGAAAAACTATGTTTTTACCACTGATTTCAAAAAATATTATTAAGGGTATATAAATTGATGATTATTTCATATAAAGACTTTTTGAGAATTCAAAGTAAGTAAGGGAAACTATACATAGAGCATCAATTCTAAGAAATTGTATGTAGATATAATGGCTAACATAATAAAAAATATAATTATAGTTACAGGGAAATTACTGATCAAGTTTGGAAGACATGAACATTCATTCAATTTAATAGAGAAAAGGCAATATGAGGTTGATGGTTGTGCTTAATGATGATAAGCATGAAGAATTCATGCTCCATGTCTGAAGAATTCATGCTCCATGTCTAAAGTGGGAAGGTCAAACGTCAACTACCCACTGTAATATATATGGTAAGACCACAAATTTCGCATAATACTCTACTAAATACACAGAACCATATATTCAACCAACCACCACTAAGCTGGACATTTAATAAATAGTCATTCTGTTCTATTACATGTAACACTAGCTAATAGTTGTGAGTGATACATGGAGCCTGCCATTAAGGGTTACCAACAAAAACTAATCAGCATGGTAAATAACTGTAATAATTTTAGTAGCCATATAGGTCTACAATGATGTGTCATAGACAAACTTCAAACTTCTTAACTGTATGTTAAGATTGGGGAGGGAGAAATTTTTCCCCCTTTAGCTGTGGTTGTGTTATATATCAGATTTAGGAAAGCAGTTTAAGAAAGATGAGGAAAATGTTTGTGTAAGAAATGACCGCCTAGCTTCCAGATTATTCTGCGTACTCATTTTTCTAGCTCTGAGTTCAGAGCTAGCGAGGAAATGCAAAGAAAAAGTGATGCAGGGCTATCTATTCCATAGATACGTAGGAATGATGTAGCCATCACAACAATTTTAATCAATGATGGAATTCACTTTTCTTTAGCCTTATCACTTTTCCACAGACAAGCATAACTAATAACGTGTCCTTGAAAATGAAACTCTTGATTTCTTTGATAAGAGACCTTAGATTTGAAGAAAAATGGACCAATATGCCTCAGTGTATGGGGAAATAAATAAGCCAGTTGCCTTCAACTTTCTGGAAAATACAACTATATTACTCAGGGTTCTCTAGAGAAACTATATATATCTATGTGTAAAGATTTATTATATGGAATTGGTTCATACATTTTGAAAGCTGAGAAGTCCCAAGATCTGCAGTCGGCAAGCTGGAAACCTAGAGACCCAAGAGAGAGCAATGTGTACATTCAGTCCAAGGCCTGAGAACCAAGAGAGCCAATGGTTAAATTCCAGACTATAAGTCAGCGGTCTCAAGACCCAAAAAGAGCCAATATTTTAGTTTGAGTCCAAATGCAGGGAAAGACCAAGGTTCCAGCTCAAGACAGTGATGCAGGAATAATTTGTTCTTTACTCCTTCTTTTTTTTTTTTAATGCTTTTATTTATTTTTTGTGAGAGAGAGAGAGAGCATGCAAGCAGGGGAGGGGAAGAGAGAGGGGGGACAGAGGACTCAAAGCAGGCTCCAAGTTGACAGGCTGACCGCAGCAAGCCCAGTGTAGGGCTCAAACTCATGAACCACGAGATGATGACCTGAGCTAAAGTAGGACGCTCAACCGACTGAGCCACCCAGGCGCCCCACTCCTTATTTCTTACTGAGACTCAGCCAATTTATTCTATTCAGGCCTTCAACTGATTGGATGGAGAGCCATCGACATTGGAGAGCAGTCTGCTTTATTCAGTCTGCTAATCCACATGTTAATATCCTCAAAAATAATCACAAACACTTCCAGACTAGTGCTTGTCCAAATATCTGGGGACTCAGTGGCCAAGTCAACTTGACAAATAAAATTAATTGTTGCAGCAACATTCCCATAGTAGACAGTACAACTTGTGAAAGATCTCATTGTACCCATCTTCTTTACTTTCTTTTACTGTGTTTCACAACTTCAACTGTGTTGTAGATGTTAATTTTGATGGAAAATTAGAAGCCAGAACAGACATGACAAATCCCACCCAATGTGACCACTGGCCTTTGAAAAGGAGGATACTCCCTCCTGGCATATTCATTGCGCTCAACACCCTATGTAATGTTTGAGAATTGGTTGCTGATCTCTAGGAATTCATATAATGTAAGCATCGATCATTCTATACAGAAAATTAGTTATCTGAGTACTCCAACTCTGAATGACAGAATCTTGGCACTATTGTTCAGTTAGAATCCACTTGAGCTAGAAAAAATACATATAGCAAACCTAAAGGTCTATTGTTGTTGTTTTTTTTAACCTGGAAATTGTATAATGTTTAAAAGATTGGTTGAGAATAAAAGAACTCACTAATGGGGTATGTCAATATTTATGTGGTAGGGTCTGCCATAAAGTTTCACTTAAGAAATTGTATATATCTGGGTATAGCTAGGTGGTTTCTCCTCTAGTTTGGAAATCTGCTGAGTCTCCAAAAAGGGCTTGTGACTCTCTAGTCTACACAGAAGGTCAATAAGAACTCAGTCTCGACTGATTAGCTACCTAGTCATGAAGTGAAAAACTGGTCACTTGGGCGCTTGCGGAAGTGAAGCTGCCATTTATTGGTGTCCCACTTCAGCCAGGCATCCAGCTGCGAGCCCAAGGGTTCAGGCGTCCGAGCCTCAAGATGCTCTCAGGCTGATGGCTCCTGGAGCCTGAGCCTGTTTTTGATTCTGCGCTCCCCCTTCTGCCTCTCCGCCCTCCCTCCCTCATGCTTGGCCTCTCTCTGTCACCTAAAATAAATAAACGTGAAAAAAAAATTAAAAAAAAAAAAAAAAAAAAAAAAAAACCAATACATTTCAATGTTACTACTAATGGTGTGTGCCTTATAAAATCTACAATGTGCTTTATTTAATATATTAGGAATAATTCTCTCTCCTTGTACGTATCTGCATAGTCTGGTTTGGCCCGTTGAAGGAAGGAGGTGTTTAGTTCATTTTGATGAGAAGAAGCTTGTCTTGATTGGAGTCTAAATTTAAATAAACTATATTTTATGTAACAAAAATAGGAGACACGGACTTATAACTCATTCCTGCTGAAATACTCTAGCAGGCAGCATAGACAGCACAGACTCTAGAGCCTGCATTCAAATCCCGACTCTGCCACCTACTTGCTCTGTCATCTTGGGCAAATCACTTCATGTCTCTGGGCTTCAGTTTCCACTTTGTAAAATGAAAATATTTACAACACAATGATTGAATGAGTTAACATCTGTAAAACACTTAGAATAATTCCCACAACACATAGTGTCCCGAAAGGATTGGA